CCCCCCCCAAAACTGCTGCCTCTCCACATAACCTGTCCCCCACTGCTCCTTTTACTGCCTCCCCCATCACTTGTTCCCTGATGTTCCACTACTTTCTCTGCTGCAGTTCTGGTGGGGATGAATTTAAGAAAATCCTCCAATTAGTCTATACATGGAAAATTATAACAAACTTAGATTCTGTACATGGAAAACTAATAATTATTGAGTGGTCATCTTAAAGTAGGGATATCTTGGATTCAGGTAAATATGGTAATTTGTTCATAGCATGTAGTGGAATTAAACTAGTGATTCTTAACCAGGGTACCTCAGCAGCCTGGGGGGCACCTGGGGTACTTTGAGATTCTTTTAAGGGTGCCGTGCAATATTAGCACTTTTAGGTGTTTAAATATCTACACATAATTTCACCAGATAAACCCAAAGATTTCAAATAGAAATCTATAGTGTCAAAAACGTTTTAACATGTTGCATTGTTTTTGAGTTCTTTGCCACAGAGTAATTGCTCTGTTATGTTTATGTAGTCACAAAATGAGTGAAACCTAAGAGCAGGCATTTGAGTTTAAGGAGGCTGAGATTGACTGAAGTAGATTGGCTATAAAAGCTCATACCTCTGAAATTGTATTAATAGCCTCCAAGGTGCCACCCTGCCCTACCACATTTTTTAGTTGAAATTCATCTAGTTTTGGTATGTTGCTCTTGTGCATAGATTCATAGATGTTAGGGTCGGAAGGGACCTCAATAGATCATCGAGTCTGACCCCCTGCATAAGCAGGAAAGAGTGCTGGGTCGAGATGACCCCAGCTAGATACTCATCTAACCTCCTCTTGAAGACCCTCAGGGTAGGGGAGAGCACCACCTCCCTTGGGAGCCTGTTCCAGACCCTGGCCACTCAGACTGTGAAGAAGTTCTTCCTAATGTCCAATCTAAATCTGCTCTCTGCTAGCTTGTGGCCATTATTTCTTGTAACCCCCGGGGGCGCCTTGGTGAATAAAACCTCACCGATTCCCTTCTGTGCCCCCGTGATGAACTTACAGGCAGCCACAAGGTTGCCTCTCAACCTTCTCTTGCGGAGGCTGAATAGATCCAGTTTCTCTAGTCTCTCCTCGTAAGGCTTGGTCTGTAGGCCCTTAACCATACGAGTGGCCCTTCTCTGAACCCTCTCCAGGTTATTCGCATCCCTCTTGAAGTGCGGCGCCCAGAAGTGCGGCATGTTAATGATCAGTGTACCTTTTGAAGAACAGTTGGAAAGAGAACTCTTTCTAATGTAGTTCAGGTATAGTTTGCTAGAAATATGCCAGGGTTCAGGTACAGATTTAGTTTCTGCAGTTAGATTATTCTTTGCCATTACTTTTAATTTTCATCTTGAGTAATAAAGTGTTTAGAGCAATTTCATGTAATGAGAAAATGTCCATTCATAATGTGAAATAATTAGCGCTGTAAACATGAATACAGTTGAGGTTATAAGAGTTGTGAGCCAGATCCCCTTCTGATATGTGAAGAGTCCCGAACCATATATCTGCTTTTTTGCTGCTTAATCATGCCTTTACATCTCTCATTGTCTTACTGTTGGAGTAACTACTTGAGAAGAACCATGGATTTAAAAAGCAGAACAGTTGCTCTTAATTCAATGGTGATCAACCTGTAAGCCCCATGAGCCAGATTGGGCTGGATCCTGCATGTCAGATCTGGCTGCAGACTGACCATGTAGCCCAAACACATGGGGCTTTCCGTGGATCCAGAAATTTGGTGGGAGGGGGGAGCAGTTACAATGATAATTGCCATTGTTTAAGGAGCCTCATCAGTTAAAGCTGTTACCACACCCCTGCCACCGCAGGTGGGATCCCACCGCTGACTGCCCACCATGACATGGACTGGGTGACATGGCCCAAAGAGCCAGACCTGTCTTGAGAACTGACTGTAGGTTGAGCTCTACTGCTTTTATTTTTTTTAAGTACAGTATATAAAAGATACTGGAAATGGTTATTTTATCATAATTTAATAATGGAGGAAGGTGTTTTTAAATGTCATCCAGAACCTTTTCGTTGTTTTGTAGTTTATTCTCCCCAGTCATGTATTCTCTTTCTAGGGTTTTAAGATTTAACATGATAAATCACCTTTCTGAAACATCTCATAGCTTGTTTTGTTTTCTTCTAATTGTAATATTTAAATAAAGTACATGGCATTTTTATTGATTTTTGTCCCTTCGCTGTTTTTTTTTCTTCAGGTGCTGGAGATGTTCATCCTAGTACTGCAGCAGTGTCACAAAGAGAATGAAGACAAATGGAAAAGGCTGTCCCGGCAAATAGCAGACATTATTCTCCCAATGCTTGCAAAGCAACAGGTTATTGTCCAGCTTTTCTAATTTTACAATATGAAAACAATGTTTCAAACTTTGCAGGTAAAGTAACTTGTATATAATATAATAATATAGACTTCTCTGTCAGTAAGCCCATCTCTGTTCAAGATATGGTGTGACTTGCCCTCAGGCTTCACTCTAAACAGGCTTATTTGACCCAGGCATACAGGATCGTGTTCTTTTTCAGCTGTAGTACCTGGGGAGGTGGGGGAGAGAGGTGGTACGCACATGCTGTGTGTGGCTGTGAGAGGCAGGGGTGACGTTGCTGCTGTTGGCCGTGATAAGAGTTTAAAAGATATAACCAACCTACTAAAGACATCCTTTCTTACATCAGTGTCAAGAGATATAACACCTGCTTTGCTCACTTTCCTCTTAACCACGTCGTAGCTTCAGTTTACTTCTCAGCGTTAGCAAAATTAGACTTGGGGTTGGTTTTTTTTGCCTGTTTGTGTTCATAAGTCTTGTTTTCTTTGTCTTTTTCTCATCTGCCTCCTGCTTATTATAGAGGATTCCAAATCACCCGTCTTCAAGAGTTGTCCATTATGTAGCTTTATCATGCTAGTAAATGATAGCCATGCTTGCTCTTTTATTTTCCTGGGGGAGAGGCACATAACTAAGTGCTATTTTGTATGTTGCTCATTTTCAAAAAGAACTTTGGAAAACAATAATGCAAAATTGAAATTGTGTGCTGGAAAAGCCCAGATGGCTTTTGTATCGTGCCTAGTCAGAAGAACCCTAGGTTATCCTTGACATGTCTCCTGAGCCTTCTGCTTGCTCTATCAGACGAACCCCACGTCATTCTGAGCTCAGGAAAAAGGCCAAGGAGATATACCCAGGTCTGCTACAGACAAAATTAAGCCCCTTCTATCTGAGAGCACCTGAGACTAGCAATTAGTGAGTAAAGATGGCTCAGCAATAGCCTTTCTTCCTACATAACCATGGATACATGCCCTTTTGCTTCTTTGCAGCGGCGAACTAACAACTGCCAGTTTTCATTGTATCCCTACTCACTTGATCTTGGATCTTTATGGTTTTGGTCACTTTTGAGAGGGAATTGGGAGCTAAGGAGCTTGTCCACCCTCACCCATAGACTTAACTTCAAACTTATGTATCAGGGTTCATAACTTGGAGCTTTTTCTTGCTGGGATAGCAGGGCAGAGCCAGTTGAAACAGTTCATTTATCCCACAATGACTGTACCACATTGGTACTGCAACTATGTTGTACTTGTTAGTACTACCTAGGCTGAAACATTCAGCTTTTGCAGATATCAAACCCTTACAGTATCATTAGAGATCCTGTTTCTGGCTAGGTCTTGAATATAGTCAGGTATTGAAGTCTTATCTGATGGTCATCTTCAGTTTGAAAAGTGACCTCTAAATCGGCTTTATCTCCACTTGACCTGGCACTAGAACTGGTATTGCAGACAAGAATTATTCTTTCCGGGGAGGAAGCCAACTCCTTGTCTTCCTGTTTCCCAGACCAAAGTTGTGACCTCTCTAGGTGGCTCAGTGAGACTTCATTAGAGAGTCTAGAGAGGCTTCCATCAAAGGACTCCAAAAAGAGGACAGGTATTTCAAAATATATCTTCCTTGTATGCTCTTCTCCAGTAAACTCTGGATTTATGCTATCTTACTGAACTCTGTACTAAAGTTTTCCAGCTGTGTGCCCAGACCCAGAGCCTCATCCCTGAGAGAGCAAATATAGCCAGCTCCATCTAGCACTTCAGATCTCGGAAGCGTGTCTAAAATCTCTCCCAACTGTGCAGTAAAAGATATCACCAGCGATATGCTTCTCCTGCATGTTTGGTGGACTATCACTGCTACAACAACATAGTTTATATTGAGGTAGTTTTAGAGTGGCCTTTCTTTAGGATTGACCTGAAATTCTGTCCTGGACCTGATGGAAAAACTTATTGACAGTGGTATGGTCCTATGAAAAGATTTTTGGTCCCAGCAAACTGTCACGTTATGATCAGCTGTACTTCTAAGCCACTACAGAGTATTTTAAACGCATGAAAAACCTTACTAGTGCCTTTTCACCTGAAGGAATCTTCTCCTTTCCTGGAAAACTTTATCTTGGTTTTTACTATCCTTTCAACTGACTTGTCAATGAAAATAGCTTTTCTAGAGGCTGTTCCTTTTCCTAGGAGAGTAGGATAAATCCAGGCTTCCATGACTAGGAGAAATCCAGGCTTCTATACACCATATTTATTCATAAAAGCATACTTTGTCCTCTTAGGTCCTTCTGCAAATTTCTTCCTTTGATGGTCTTGAATTTTTACCTTGGTTAGGCCACCTAGTTAAACAAGGGCATTGTACAAGAGACCTAGGGAGGGTATGGTCCTTTTATCTAGAAAGGAAAAAGTTGACATAATCTAGATTGTATATGCTTCTGCAAAAAGTGTTAGAAGACAAAATATGTCCAGTCAGAGTTGTGTGTTTCAGCTTGTATTCAGATTTACTGGGTCCGTCTACATGTGCTGTTAATGTGAAGCAATAAACTCTTGGGCCGTTTGAGCCAGAGTAAACTATGCCCAGGCACAACGTTTGCACACGTGCCCAGGACAGCAACAACTTGAGCCAGGGCAGAGCAAGCCTGGGCTGGCAGGGGGCATGGAGTGGGGTCAGCGTGTCGATATCGGAGGGGCTGGCTGGGGCATGAGTGTGCTGAAGTGCAGTAAATTACCCTGGCATAAGATAGTACCATCTTATGGCGGAGTTAAGTTGTTTACTGCAGCATAATACCACCACGTGCAGGAGGTGATGCTTTACTCCACAGCTATCTACTCTGTAGACTACTTTGTAGTCAAGTGCACGTGTAGACAGCTAAGAATGCGTCCATTCCATTTAGGGCCCAGGTAGCTGCTGTCACTTGTTTGTATATTTTTTGTCAACTGTTGTGCAGTGGCCTTTTTTACAAGCAATTTTAATGCAGAAATTAAGTAAATAAAAATTGCTTAACACCATTTACTTGAAACTCTTCTTAGCCCCCGTGGTGTTTTTAATGACTGGGAGGTATGTTTTTAGGTTTCTTGTTTGCTTTCCTGCTTGCTCGCTCTCAACTTTTTTTTAGCAGTTATACCTGGCAGTATTGAATATAGGTATTTCCAGGACCAGGATTACAGCAAAACTTGAAAGATTCAGCCATTACTGTTGTTTGTTTATTGTTGGCAGACATTAATTTCCATATGGAAAACTCACTGAAAAGTAGTAAAGCAGAATAATTTGCCTAGCTGAAGTCTCAATGAGCAGCAGATAAGTCTTTTAATCAGTTCTTAGCTTTTGCAAGCTTTTGGCTATCTGGGAACTTGGTTTCTGTGCAGACTGTGAAAACTGCAGAGTATAGGGACCTGTTGTGTCATTCTGTAATTCTATTGATAAACTATAGTTTCATAGTTTCATAGTTTCAGGGTCGGAAGGGACCTAATAGATCTTCTAGCCCGACCCCCCGCCAGGGCGGGAGAACAACCCAAAAACACAAACAAAACCACTCACCCTAAAAACAAAAACGGGACTCAAATGAGTCCAGCCAGGTAAGTATCCAGCCTCTTCTTAAAGATCCCCAGGGTAGGGGCCAGCACCACCTCCCTTGGAAGTTGGTTCCAGCTCCTAGCCGCCCTGACTGTGAAGTAGTTTTTTCGGATGTCCAATCTGTACCTCCTCTCCATCAACTTGTGCCCATTATTCCTTGTTATGCCAGCAGGGGCTAGGGGAAACAGCGTCTCCCCCAAACCCTTCTGGTTCCCCCTAGTGAGTTTATAGACGGTCACCAGGTCCCCCCTCAGCCTTCTCTTGTGGAGGCTGAATAGGTTCAAGTCCCGCAGTCTCTCACTGTAGGGTCTGCCCTGTTGTCCCCGGATCATGCGGGTGGCCCTCCTCTGGACCCTCTCCATGTTGTCCACATCCCTCCTGAAATGGGGCGCACAGAACTGGACACAATACTCCAGCTGCGGCCTGACCAGCGTCGCATAGAGGGGGAGGATCACCTCCCTGGCTCTACTCGAGATGCACCTGTGGATGCACGACAAGGTCCGGTTAGCCCTGCCAACCATGACCTCGCATTGTCGGCCCATGTTCATCTTGGAGTCAATAATGACACCAAGATCCCTTTCCGCCTCCGTGCTCTCAAGTAGGGAGCTCCCCATCGTATAAGTGTGCTGCTGGTTCCTACTACCCAAGTGCAGCACCCTGCACTTGTCCGTATTGAAACGCATCCTGTTCCTGTCTGCCCACCCCTGTAACCTATCCAGATCCTTCTGCAATCTCTCTCTCCCTGCTAGCGTGCTCACCTCCCCCCAAATTTTGGTGTCATCAGCGAATTTAAACAGGTTGCTCTCCACCCCAACATCAAGATCGCTGATGAAGAAATTGAACAGCGCAGGCCCCAGGACCGAGCCCTGGGGGACTCCACTACCCACCTCCCCCCAAGTCGAATATGATCCATCCACCACCACCCTCTGAGTGCGACCCTTCAGCCAATCTGCAATCCATCTGACCGTGTAGGCATCTATGCCACAGTCGCCTAGTTTATTAATTAGGATGGGGTGAGAGACGGTGTCAAAGGCCTTGCTGAAGTCCAGAAAGACTACATCCACCGCGACACCTGCATCCATGGCCTTTGTGACCTGATCATAAAAGGCAATCAGGTTGGTCTGACATGATCTCCCCCTAATAAATCCATGCTGATTGCCCCTGAGCATCATCTCGGATGCCGGCCCATCACAAATGTGCTCCTTGATGATCTTCTCAAAGAGCTTCCCCAGGATTGAGGTAAGACTGACGGGCCTATAATTGCCCAGGTCCTCCCTTTTCCCTTTTTTGAAGATGGGGACCACATTAGCTACCTTCCAATCGTCTGGCACCTGGCCCAAGCACCACGATCGCTCGTAGAGCCGTGCCAGGGGCCCTGCAATAACCCCAGCCAGCTCCCTCAGCACCCTGGGGTGGAGAGCATCCGGACCCGCTGACTTGAACGCGTCCAGCCCCTCCAGAAGCTCTCTAACCCGGTCCTCCCCAACCTGAGGTCTGAAGGCGATCCCCTCGCGTCCGGCTTCTATCACAGCAGGGAAGTCCCGGTCCCTGCACAAGAAAACGGAGGTGAAGAATTGGTTAAAGAGGTCCGCTTTATCCTCTGACGCAACCACCAGATTGCCCCGCATATCCTGCAGGGGCCCCACATTACCCGGCGCCTTCTTCATCCTCCCAATATATTTGAAAAAGGACTTTTTGTTATCCTTAATCCTGGACGCTAATCCGAGCTCTATCTCCGCCTTGGCCTTCCTAACAGCCCGCCTGCAGGCCCGAGCAGAGGAGGTATACTCCTCTTTGGAGATTACACCCCCCTTCCACCGGGCGTACGCCACCCTTTTGGCAAGCAGGCATTCCCGGACACCCTTGGTGAGCCAGGGGGGCTTTTGGACACTCCTGCCCGCCTTGATTCCTATATCAAGCTTCATCTTAATTTGTTAGGTTTCTTGTCCCCAGTGCTTCGTTTGTCAGCTGTCATGATTAGAAATTTTCTGATTTCTAGTATAAACTTATTCTTAGCCTAGTTATATCTATTTGTTCTTGTGCTGCTGTTGTCCGTTATTTTAAAAGAGTATTTCCCTTTTCCTAGTGTTTTACCTCTCAGGATGTATTTGTAGTGAGCAGCCATAACCTCTCTCAGCTTCCATTTTGCAAGGTTAAAACAAGCCATGCTCTTCTACATTTTTCATTCATAAAACAGGCTCACTGCCCCCCTATTCAACTAGTAGAGCTTTTGTTACCTTCTCCAGTTTGAATTTATGAGAATTTATTGAACATGGGTGACCAGAACTGAACATAAAATCCAGATGAGTTTGTGGTGTGCTGTGCAAGCCTTGTAAGAAAGGCTTCCTTTCCTTTTTGATCTCAAAACCAAAAGTATAGCTTCAATATACAATTGGGGATAGAAGTCTTCCTGAACGTCTGAACTGCAGGAAGAACACAGTTAACTGGAAAAAAGTCTTCTGGACAGCAATTTTTAACCTAACACATAGCATCAATATGTGAGAGCTCATTTCCTGTTTCTCCTTACTATTTTTGGATAGGCCTTGCATATAGCTGTAGCAAAGAGATGCTGTTTAGAATAGAAAAGTATAGTTGTAAAACCATGAAATTTAGCTGTAGAACTCTGGGGTAGGAATTTAAACAGACTATCTTTCAACCTGCAGATTTTAAGTTGGTGTTCCTTAATGCATACCTTCCCAGTTGTTGCTTTGGTATCAAAACCAAAACTTAAATTTTGAGTAGTTTCCCAAAGATTCTATATAGTAAAAAAACACATGTAAATGGTATTTTTTTTGTTTAAATGTTCCTAAAGGGTGGTGGTGATCTGTGTACTAAAGGATGCAACTATATTTATTCACTTAATACTTAATGGTTTTGATTTCTCTTGATTCTGCCCCTGAAATTAGTCTTATTGCATAAGAGCGCACAAGCTTCACAGTTTAAAAAAGAACCAAAATGGTCATGCTAATTTTGCTGTTGTGTTCAATAGTGCTCATGTGACTACTTTGCATTTTTTGTCCTTTTAAATAGATGCACATAGATTCCCACGAAGCTTTGGGAGTATTGAACACTTTATTTGAAATTTTGGCTCCTTCATCTCTCCGTCCCGTGGACATGCTGTTAAGGAGTATGTTTGTTACTCCCAAAACAATGGTGAGTGGTCAGTATTGTGCGTAAACAATGTAAATTTATGACTGCCTTTTATGGAGATTGTGTATCAAGGAAAAGACAATCCTATATTTTCAAACATGGCAAAATAGTAGCAGGCATTAATATAAGCTTCTGCAACTTGTATAGCCTTTCCCAATTCTTGTTAACAAATTATCTTTAGTAGTTGCAGTGAATTCCAGTTCTACTGAAGTTACCAACCTGGTGCTGTTTGGCCAGAAAATTATACTTACGGGTTGACCATTTTCCCCCCTGTAATTCAAGGATGAGAAGGGGGGTGGGTGGGCATTGTTTCCCTACTTGTATAAGAGTAATTCCATAGATTGGTTTATAGATCTTCTCTCATGTAAAAATTTAATCCCATTTTTGTATAACAATGAAAATCCCTTGATTTCATTTTTGAAAGATGGGTATGTTTTAACGAAACATTTTTCACAAAAGTAAGTGTTGCAGAAGTGTACATTCCCCTAATTGCACTCGAGTTGCAGAGCATCAAGGGGTCTTAAAGCTGACACGATTTTCATGAACTGTAAGTCTAAACTAGTTGCTGGGAAGCAAGGCTCTGGGAGATGAGAAGTCAGAAGAATTAAATGTTGTGTCTGCTTTGAACAAACCTCTTTTGAGTTGTTATATAGGATATATTATTCTTGCAGTAGCTCTGTCTGAGTTGCAGTTGACATTAAAAAAATGAAAAGTGCTGAATTTCTTCTTGTGTGATTTTTTTTTGACTAGGCATCAGTGAGCACTGTTCAGCTATGGATATCTGGAATACTTGCTATCCTCAGAGTTCTCATTTCTCAGTCAACAGAGGATATAGTTCTGTCTCGTATTCAAGAGCTTTCCTTCTCCCCATACTTAATCTCATGTCAAGCAATTGACAGACTACGGCATGGAGAGAATGTGTCCACTCCTGAAGACCAATTTGAGGTGAAACAGGCTAAGTATATGCCTGAAGAGACATTTTCCAGGTATGTTATCTGCTAAATTTATAGCCTTTTGTATAACTTTTGGTGATGTATTGAAAAAAATAACCAGTAGTAACTGGACACAGTATCCAGAAACGTCTAAATGTTACTTGTATAGAGGAGGAGCAGTGGTAAGCTGGGAAAGGAGCTTGTAGGGTAGAGTGGGCTGAGCTGCAGGTGGGTATCTCATGTCGGGGGGGGGGGGGAGAAATGTCTTTGTTTTGGTCTTTTTTTGCAAGCTTAGTCGATAAGGCCAGGCATTGTAGGAAATTGGAGGGGAAGTCCTGACCTCATTGAAGATGTGGGGGGGGGGGGGGTGAGAAATGTCTTTGTTTTGGTCTTTTTTTGCAAGCTTAGTCGATAAGGCCAGGCATTGTAGGAAATTGGAGGGGAAGTCCTGACCTCATTGAAGTCAGTGACACAAGTCTCACTGACTTCAGTGGAACCATAATTTCATTTTAGAAACTGACTCTTCTTTCTCACTTCCTTCAACCTGTCTTGTAATGTAGAAGGTATCTGATGATCCTACATTTCAGGATTTTTACTTGTCAAAAGTAGAGGCCAGTAAGGAATTCCTTTGAATTGTTGACTACAGCTGAAGCTGGGGTGGTATTTTTTTGTTGTTGTTTGGTTGGTTTTTGACTGATGCTTCTGCTGGTGTTTTGAGCTCTCCAAGGTTTTTTGATGGCTGATCTTGCTCTTCTGCTCAAGGTCATGCTGATTACCACATTCAGGGTCAGGAAGGAATTTTATTCCTTAAATCAGACTGGTGTGAACTCTGGTGGCTTTTGTCTTCCTCTAGTGCAGGGCAGGGCGCATCTTAAGACCATAGCAGTCATTAAACAAATACTATCCAACTGCTTCATGCAGAGCATGGACACTGTATTTTCTCTTTTTTACCTATTACATGTTTTTTTTTTTTTTTGGGGGGGGGGGGTTCTTGTTTCTTTAGGTGTTTATGTAGGATTAAAGTGGTGGTTTGAGGATTATTTGCAAACTCCTGGGAATGGATTTAATGGCTCATGAGACTCCTTCTAATTCAGTTCCACACTGGAACTTAAGTGACAAATGGGCAGGATATCTTGAGGGACTTCCTTTCTTTACTTATGAAAATGAAAGGGTTACCTTTCTTTTTCAAACAATTAATTGGAATCAAGAACTGTCTTGAGGAGGAGGACTTTAGCAAAGCAAGTGAGAAAATTTGGAGAGGAGATAGTTGAAAATACTTTGGTTTTAACTGCAGAGGAAAAGGATCAGGATATTTTTTTTTTTTTAACCACCTGAGTGAAGGTTTGAGAATCTCATGAGAAGAGTAGGGTCCAATTTACCTGCACCTTCCTTTGGTGAAGGAGGAGGATGGAGTTGCATTTAGACTGGGTCTTTGGAGATATAGGCCAATTTAGAATGGTTTGAACCTCCTAACTTATCCAGGTAAACTTTTGAAACAGTCCTCCTTGAACCAGTTCAGGTTTATTTGTAGACACTAGACTGTCACAAGTGTCTGGCCAGTCCTTCAGGCATCCTATACTGCACTGCTTCTCACCCCGCCCCAACCCCTGCACGGCAGCTGGCTACTCGGGTATGCATCCAGAACTCTATTGCCCCAACCTGCATTGCCTGCACTTGACCCAGTCTGCCATCCTGGGCTGTTTTGGGTTCGGGGTGGCCAGGTGTGGTGGCGGGAGGGTTCCTGGGGTGTTGCATTCTCTGCAGTGCTGCCCCATGTCTCCCCAGCTTTTAAACAGCACTTTCCCCCAGCTGCTTGGTAGTTCCATTCCATTCCATTGGTGGCAGTTGACTAGGCTTTGGGGCATCCCAGCCTGATTTTAGATTGGGGGGTTGCCCAGGTGGGTAGAGGGGGCACCCCTGCTTCTGCGTGCCCAGAAACCTGGACAGCCCCAAGTACCTAGCACTCCAGGAACACAGAAGCAGGCACTTTCTCACCTGGCCACTCCTAAGGGAAGTCTTATTAAGGCAGTAGCCTGAGCAAGAGATCTTGGGCATCCCCCCAGAGTGCCCAGCCTCCTGGTAAGGGAGAAGCAGGTATTCAGGTAGTTCTTCTACAACTAACCAGCCAGCCCTTTACTCCCAAATTCGCCTGTGATGCACCAAACTGGTACTTTGCCAGGAATGAAGTTAACTTGATGAGTGACTTGGGAAAATGTCTTTTAAAAGCTATGAAAACTGTGACAGTCCCAGAGCACCCAGTTCTCGGCAACCCAGAAGCAGGGGACCAGGCAGCCCTTCCCCCCCCCCACGCCGCACACTCCTGGGCAGCCTCAGTTGGGTGATAAAGTGCAGGAATGGTCTTTATTGAACCCAGTGTTAGTGAGCAGGGGGATTGGAGAATTGCAGTTGTGGGCTATTGACCATCTTCTTTTTCCTTGGTGTTCAGCTAATCAGGGTCTTTCTCCCTTGCTCAGGGAATTTTGGGGAAACTGGGACACTTGCCACTGAAAGGCAAAATGGGCTCAGTATTCACTACCAAGCCCATCTGCCACCCCCTGGTGGCAGCTTAGCAACACTGGAGTACCTAAAAGGAGACTTCTACTGAGATACTTTGGCTGTGTAGGTGTGGGCACCTCTCAGTTGTGACGGTTGTGAACCAGTTCCCAATCGGTGACATTCTTGAGATGGTTTGAATGTTATGTCTGTCTGCACCCTTAGAGGCTAATTGAGGAATGGTACAGGGTGAATTTGAGACTTGGCAGGTAGGCTTTTAATTTCATCCTTGGCTTTTGAATGATTATTCCATTGGCCATCTTCAGGTGATTTAATGCTGCTGCCTGCTAAGGATGTGGAAGCCACAGGGGAGATGGTAGTGCTTGGTGGTACGGTGTTGGGGGTCCTCAAACTGGGATGAGAGCAAGATTTTGTGTAAGGTAGGAAACTGGTCATAATAGTCTAGTCTCAGTGCCTCTTATTTCATCTCTTATGTCTTGAGAGGCTGTCTGCTTCATGTTAAATGCAAGGTGGGCAATTTAATAAGATGGTTATCAGTGATTTTGATAGAGATTGGGAGCTGTAGAACTAAGACTTTGGGCCATCCTCCCACTTTGAGGGGGGAAAATAAACACAGCAATTTTGATCAAATTCTGCTTTGAAAAATACATTTGACTGAAGCCAAGATCATGATCCTTGGGGACAGAGGAAGAAAAAAGATTTAGGGGAGAACAATTTAAAAATACGTTCTGCAATATTATTTTTTTCAGGGAAACATTCCAAAGTTTAACTGAGTAGGAAAATACCAACTTGGAACAGATGAGAAAACAAGTACATGTGTTTTTGAGGGCTTTTTTTCTCACTGCTGTTTACAGCTTCCATAGGGAACAATTCATGTTGATCTAGTTGGTTTATATTGATACTTTAAGTACATAAAATTAACAGAAGTACTGTGTGTGTTGTTTGTTTCTTTCTAGGTTCTTATTACAGCTAGTGGGCATTCTTCTGGAAGACATTGTGCATAAACAGTTGAAAGTGGATATGAATGAGCAGCAGCATACTTTCTATTGCCAAGAGCTGGGCACACTGCTTATGTGCCTTATACATATCTTCAAATCAGGTAATAATTTCAAAAAAGTTGTTTTGTAGCATAAGGGAAATTCTTCCTCGTTCTAAATCAGTTGTTTTGAGTTTTAAAATTTGTCTGTTTTGAGGATACTGGCTGTGTACAAAAGATCTTTCCTCTTCAAGATATTGCATGTCTCCATCAGACAGCCTTTTCAAATTTTGTTATGTGTGTACCCCTTCTAGGACATTTCCATGCTCAATTATTTCTAGTTTGTTCTAGAAATAATAATTTTCTTCCATTTAAGCTTTCTTTTTAATTGTCTAAAAGATTCCAGTTAAGAGAAGCCAGTCACTCTCAACTCTTGGGCTGGGTTTCCCATATTTCACCCAAACTGATGAGGCTTGTTACAGACATCCAAGCCATCTAAGATTTTAAATACAAGCCTTGCAAATATAAGGTTAAAATCTTGCCAAGGTTGCCTTAGCTTTCCATGATCCTATGGAAATACAAATACGTCTGGCAGTTCTGTTCCAACCATGTGGTTAGAAAGGCACTTCAGTTTTAAAAGTGGTCCTAGGCATTCCTTTCATTAGGTGCTTGAACATTAGCTCTAGGAGAACAAGCCTTCTTCCCTCTAGTTCTAATTTCCTGTCTACACAGCTAGCCGCTGCAGCCTTTCTTCTCTCTGCATTCTCTGCCCTTTTCTTTGATTTCTGGCTACTGGGACCTTCCTTTTTCCTTCTGATTTTCAGCCTGCAGTACCTGGCCCCTGGCAGCATAGCAGACTGGTTCCTGCTTAGTATGGCCTTTGTTCTGCCACCAGCCTGCTGTTCCACATGCTGTTTCCCCACTGACCTAAGGGGATCACAGTAGCACCAGAGCTTCTCCTGGAGCATTGCCAGCTAGCACAGATCAGCCTAAGCCACCTGCAGCTGCTCCACGTGTCTCCTATCCCCTTCCCTGTGACGGCTTGGTCTGATCCACCATCTGGGGTACACATGCTCTGCTCCTCTGGCTTGCACAGTCTTACCAGTCTGCCTTGTTTTCTGATGAGGATATCCTGGAACCAGCTCAGCCCCCTCCCCCAAAAAGGTAGGCAAAGTATCCCTCCTCTACCCCAGAGTTTCTCCTTTAGCACTAAGGGCCCCAGTCCTGGGTTCCTCTCTCTATTCAGAAGGGTAAACCTCCTCTGGGGTAAGTATTATTTTTGAAGGATTATGACAGCTTTGTGGGGTTTGAGCTATCAATATCTCCTTGGGCATCTTGAGGCCTTTTATTTTACATTTTTTTTTTTTAGTGAGGTTCTACCAGGTGCTTGAATTCTGTCTATGTGCAGGGCTTCATGCCTGTCAGCCTTTTACCTTCCCCAGTCATTCAGCCTAGTTCTGTTCATTTGTGAATCATGTAGGCTCTGTCTGTGCAAACATATTGGGAGCACTTGTTCCGGAATAGCTGTTTCTATATAACCACATATACAAGCTCTTGTTTTGGAATAAGTGCTTTACCCTTGGGAAGTGAATGACACAATAGTTGAGATTTAAACATTTATACTTCTCTCACCCTTTGTTTGTCCTATCTATTTAGTTGGTAGCAGGAGCTATACTTGTTATAACATCTTACTGTGCACGGATGGGCACCCACTCTGGTTGTGGCTTTTAAGCACTGCTCTAATACAAGCATCAGAGAGATGGAAATTCTCAAATCTCATTCACTTTTTCTTAATTTCTAGAAACCTTGGGATGTGTAGCTCATCAAGATGAGGAGAGGGGTCTTAATAAACATGGCTTCTGTCTTTCCTAATGGTACACTGAGTGGCGATCTATGCCAGCTTATTCCTAACAATTCTGATAAATGTTCTCTTGGCTCTTTTAGTCCCCTACCTGGGGGAACTACCGAGAACTGCAGAAGAGCAGATATTGAGGGCCTGAGAGAAGGAGAGTGCAAGTGCCTGTCTTCTGGCATGGTACTGTCCCACAAGCCTTTAGAACATAGCTAAACCCAAATATTAAACAGTCTAGGATTAATTGGTGTTGTCATACCTACATTTTAAATCTGCAGGAAAAGTTACCTTATCGGGGTGGGCACAGAAGACAAAATATACCTTTTTACCATTAGTACAGAAAAGAAAGAAGGCACCTATTGGGATGTGACAGAGACAGTCTTGTAGTTTCTTATTCCTCCACCTTGGCCTCCATAATATTGCCCTAGTGTAGTTTATCCAGAATCATTTTAAAATCTTTTTCCTTGTTTGACACCATCATATTTTCTTGGTCACACCCTTTCCATAAAATTCAAGGTTGTTGTTTTTGTCTTCAAGGCTGTGCATACTTTTCTGACCTGACTGATCTCTTCAAGTCTTCACTAATATCATCTCTGATCAACATTTCATCTTGTCCCTCAGTGATTGACAAAAAAAGGATGGTGCTGTGGGGTGCTTGGGACATTTATCTGGGACTTGGGAGATTTGGGTTCAAGTTTGTGCTTCTCCACAGATTTCTTTTTGTGGTCTCGGGCAAGTCACTTAGCCTGTCTGTTCTATAGTTTCCTGTGCCTAAAATGGGAATTGCATAGCTGGTGTACAAAAGTACCAGGTATTTTAGCACAGTCTTTCATGCCACTCTTAATGTTTGCAACCCATCCGGAACAGCTGTGCTTAGCTACTGCCTTTATTCCTTGAAGTCTTTCCTAAGAAATTCTTTTGCTGTGATTGTCCACTTTGTTAGAAAATTTGCTTCGACAGTCTCCTTTTTCAGAGGGTTCCTATAGCCAAACAACTTCTGACAGCATACACATTTGGATAAATGGACTCCATCTGATAGATGCATGCTGGAGCTGCTCAGTTCTTTGGGCTGATGCCTTTGTAGTTGAATTGTAACGTCCCAGGATTTGATGACTTCAGCTTCAGTTGTTTGCCTTTTCTGAATCCCCCTTGTTAACAGTGAATAGGAAGATGGGTAGGAGAGCTGAGCTGGAGAGTAGCGCTTCCGATATTCTGGTGGCTGCTTCTCTAACAGTCTTCCCTTTGGCTTACTGGAGGGGAGCCAAACCTGCATCTCCATTACCAAGACTGCAAGAGTGTGAGGTATAGAAGGAGTGGTGTGAATGGAGAAGGACAGAAGAGTTTCAGCTTGAGTTATTGATCTCTATTCCTGGTTTCACAGCAGGTCTGGCTTCCTGGCCCTTGTGGAAGTCATGTTCTTCTGCTCACAGCAAGTAACTTTTTTCTGTAGTGCTTTTGTCAACAAATAATTGTTAAAAACATTGATGAAATGGAGTTGCATAATCATCCATGATGGAAAAATCCCAGTTCTCTTGTTTGAAACTGGGGTTGGGAAGTGTGGGGTGAGATCAGGTCAGGGGCCATGCAGCTTTTTTTTTTTTTGTGCAGTAGGCCCAGGAGCAAGCACTTGGGAGCAATTGGATCAGCAGGAGCTTGGCTACTCAGACCTGTATCCCAGCTCCATTGCCAGTCTCTTGGGCTTGTGTTTCCCCTCTATTAAAGGGAATAATAATAAAATATTTTTTTATTCCTGTCCTGACCCTGCTTGCCAGGCTTTCCTTTTCCCCACATGGTGGTTAAGAGTTTTTATCAAACTCCTTTCTAGTAAACCACCCTAAGGCTTCTCACTTTTTCCCTTAACACTTTCCTTACTGCTTGGCTTGGAAAGAAAGAGTTGGTTAGACCCCTTCTGTGTAAAGTGTCCCATTTTCCAGAGGAGAAATTTTCTCTGAGCTGGATTTCTAATATTGTCTCTCTAAGCACTTGGAGGGAAACATGCATTCATTGCCTCCCATCTTCTCCTCATAGCCCTGTTTGGTGATGTGGGATGTTGGGGCCTTAAGATTTTTGAAGCTGAAATTAAGAACTGATGTCTGGAGAGCAGATGGTATCGAATCATCACTTAACTGCTTATTACTTTGCTTTTCCTGGTTTGCACTGTTGGGGAAACAAAGTTTAGCAACCTCACAACTTGCCTATTGCCTATTCAAAGAGCGTGGAAATTATTCATACATAGTATTAAGGTGTATGTGTGTAATTGGCTCTTGAATGGCTCTCTTACATAACGACTTAGATGCTTGACAGCAGGGCATGTTTAAATCATCCAAGCAATCATCACAACGTGAGAAGTCTAACCTCAAAATTATTTTTATTTAGGAACACGGGTACTATTTATTGCTCATAACCAGGGATCCTGATTTTTCCCTGTTTAAAAAAATCCAAAATTCTCTGATTTTTAAACCCCCAAATCCACATTTTTCTGCAATTTTAAAATGAATATAGATACCAGTTGAACACAATATTTTATTGATATTTACAATTTTAAAGGAATTTGGAAGCCTACCCAGTGCCTTTAGAATTTATTTTGTTATAATTATGAATACCTATATATTTTGGCATTTCACTGTTTTGTTTATTTTATCATGGAAAGTCAGCGCTCCCCTGCCCCCTTTGCTCCCCAGGATGCAGGTCCAGCTGTAGCTGTTTTCCCCCACTGCTTTGTGGCACTGAGCAGCCCTGATATGTTGGTGCCCTTCTCATGCCATTGTCCGTCACTGCGACCCACACCATCACTGAAGAGTATTTGTGTGTATTAACTGTGTGTTTTCCAGGCCTTTAACATGCTTTAAGTTTAGACTTAATGCTGGATGTCATGAGTTTGTAACACTTGCTTTTGGTATCATTGACCATGGCTCCCTCTTCCTGCAGTTTTTGTCTGGGAAACATGGAAAGTACTATCAAAACAGTATTGTTGAGCTATGGCCATATATTGTCCTGACTGCTGTTTGTGTGTTGCATATAACAGTACTTGAAACTGCCTGGCTACGGTTGCTAAATTTTATTAAGTTATTTTAAACAGTTGGGAAACCAGAGGACATAGCTGAGGACATCTTTTTAACTAATGGAAAACATGAAGCTATCTATGTTCATGACCAAGGCAAGCCGCTAGATAGGAGGTGGGTAGAGAGGCATCTTGTAGATCAACGAAATCGGTGATTAAGCTTTTGTGAGCCAAATTTTTATCTGATGAAGTGAGTTTGGGTTCATGAAAGCTAAAGTGTCTCTGATTTAGTTGATCTATAAGGTGCCTCTCTACCCTACCTTCTGGCCTGATTTCAAATCAACACAGCTAACTACCTTCCAGGTCACTAGATGGCACGCTTGCTGCACATGAAGTTAGTATATGTGGAGATGGCAGCAGTTGCGGGATGATACTGCAATTTCAAAATACATGGAACGTGTTCTGGATTCTGGTATTCCTCTGTCTGAGAACACTCGACTCCAACCCCAATACAGAGCAGTTCTGACTTGTCCACAGTGCATGGAAGCCATTTGGCTTCATTCTGATGCTTTGCCTTGCAGACAGAGCAGTCATGCGGAGCTCCTTTTTTTTCTGTTGCTTTACCTTAGATATTCTGCATCTGAGAAGCAGTTAAGAAATACTTTTCCCCCTGTTCTTACTTGCCTTTTCAGAAAAAAGGGGCCTTTGTTACAGGAATGGCCCACAAACAGAGCACCTCCCTTCTGTTTGTTTCTTCCTCCCTGCCCCTTCCCAGTAGGGACAAAAAAGGATGAAAGGAGACAGGCAATTTATCTCCCTCACCTGAGTGACATAGCTGGATTTTGAAGTAGCCACTCATTGTCTTTTTGATTACTTCTCAGTACAAATATATACTTCTCAGTACACATTTTAGCTTGCTTACAGTCCCTTTTAATGTTTCTTTTCTTTTTCAGGAACATTCAGAAGAATCACAGCAGCAGCCACCAGGCTTTTTACAGGAGATGGATCTGATGGTAGTTTTTATACTCTTGAAAGCCTGAGTGGTCTTGTTCAGGCCATGATTCCCACGCATCCATCCTTGGTACTGCTCTGGTGTCAAATCCTTCTTCTCGTCAATTACACTAACTACAGCTGGTGGTCTGAGGTGCATCAGACTCCAAAGTAAGGCTGTTTCATGACATTTGGGGTATGCAATTGTAGGACTGATTCAGACTATCTTTAGGTATTGCAGTCGGTTCAAAGTTGTTGTTTTTTTTTATGTAGCCTGTGTGACACTGTTGTTAAGCAAAACATTGTATGGACCTATAACTTGTTAAGTGACATGCTATTTAGATTTTTACAAGCAGAAATAATGTGGCATGTTGAAGTATAGACTCAGTCTTTGTAGGATGTTTTTAGGACAGTAAAATCTGTTTCAGAACAAACCAGACATTATACTCCATAATTGATGGCCCTTCTGGAAAGCTCTGCTAGAAATTTCTCCTGTTCAAATGGAGGATACGCCACCACTTCTGAATACAAATGTTAACATGTACTGAAGAAGGGGCAGTCAGATTCCATGTCACTTGTACTTGTAGATCAGTATCAGCATTTTAATTTTCCCTCTACCTGGTAGTCAGCCAGTGCAGATCACAGAGGGTAATTTAGTCAGTAAACAGCACCTGCGTGAGTCTTCTATTCAGAATTGGCTTGTTTTCACATAGTCTTAGAATATTAATATATCAGAGTAGAAACATTGCAGTAGTTCAATCTGGGTATAGATGCATGACACGATAACTGAAATAATTTACTCCAGTTTTTACTCTGTAGTAAGAAGTAAATATTACCTACTCTTCCAGTCTATAGCTGCCTGCAATAAGTGCTGTTATAACACCTGGCTACTAGGTGGAAGGGAGGCTGGTTTGCATTGAGCAGATGCCTACCCTGGGGTTTAAAATGATTGGGACAGGAGTGCTAGACTCGTTTGGCTCTGGGAATGGCAGTAGTGGCATTAAACCTTGTAGCTGCTTGAGGCTCTTTTAGTGTTTCTGGAATCCAGAGAGTTAACAGTGCTGCTGCTAGCTGCCTCTTTTCCCCTGCTGCTGATTTGAGTCATTGGGGTGACTAACAATCCTGACTTTGGGCAGAGAGCAAGGAGGGGAAGGGGTTGATGTGCAAGTGGTGTTAACTCCCTGGGTTCTAGAGCCATGCTGAAACAGCAGCTCCAACAGCTATGGGGATTAATACTACTGCTGCTGGGACTCTTGTAACCATGGTGACAAGCCCAGTACATGAGCCAAATACAGCCTGCAGCGGTGTGTGGTTCAGCACGTGAGAAGTCCCATGGGATGGATGACCCCCTTGTGGGTTGTATCTGGCCTGTGGGCCATATGTTTGGCATTCCTGGACTCGGGGAGCAGGTACATAACATCCCATGTAGTAACTTTTCCACATAATAAAGTTACTACACCTTTTTATAAGAGTAACTGACATAGTGTGTCTGAACCTTTTGTGTGACAGTAGTGTGGATGATGGGGTTGAGGTCTGTATCTGAAAGAAAAGATCACAAACCTACACTTAGGCATAGATTTTAAAAAAATCAGTTTGCTAATAATCTAATAGAATATCAGTTTAAATATCAAGCTGTGAATGTCACATGCTCTAAGCATGCACTAAGTGCTTTGTATGTGAAAGTATAGACTCAGTTTTGCAGGGTGCCTTTAGGCCAGTAAAATCTGTTTCAGTACAAGGCAGATAATAGGCCATAATTAATGGCCCTTCCAGAGAAGTCTACCACAATTTTATCCTATTTAAGTGGAGGAGACTCTGCCTCTTTTGAATATAACTTGACACGTTCTAAAGTAGGGGCAGTCAGATCCCAGAACCCTTGTGCTTACAGATCAGTATTAGCAACTTATTTTATCCTCTAAGTACTTAAAATATTCACTGCTTGATATTTATACTGATATTCTATTAAATTAATACTAGAGGTGTTGTTATAAGATGACTGGCTCTGTGGATGCAGGAAGAGCAGTGGATGTGATGTACCTTGACTTTTGCAAGGTATTTGATAGTATCCCACAACATTCTCACCAGCAAGCTAAGGAAGTATGGGTTGGATGAATGTATTGTAAGGTGGCTAGAAAACTGGCTTGATCATCAGGCTCAGATGTCTAGTTAGCAGCTGGTATCAAGTGGAGTGCCCCAAGGGTCAGTCTTGGGGCTGGCTTTGTTTAATATAGTCATCAGCAACCTTGCGAACGGGATGAAGGGCACCATCGGCAAGTTTGCAGGTGACATGGGGCTGGAAGGAACTGCCGCTGCCTAGAAATGCAGTCCAGCTGTGGAGCCACCCCAGCCCTACTGCATGCCTGGAAGTGGCAGGACACGGTATGGGCCAGATTGTCCCTCAGTTCCTTGGCCAGGCGGGACTAAGTCTGTCTGTGGGCCAGATCTGGCCTGTGGGCCATATTTTGCTCACCCCTCGGCTAGACTCTTCTCAGTGGTGAAGGATAAGAGAACAAGAAGCAACAATCTCAAGTTGCAGCAAGGGAAGTTTAGGTTAGATAATAGGGAAAAACTTTCTCACTAGGAGGGTAGTAAAGCATTGGAATAAGTTACTCAGAAGGGTTTTGGAATCTCCATCCTTGGAAGTTTTTAGGACTTGGCTAGACAAAGCCTTGACCGGGATGATATAGTTGGGGGTGGTCCTGTTTTGAGCATTGGGTTGTACTGAATGACCTCCTGAGATCCTTTCCAAACCTAATTTTCTATGGTTCTATGATTATTAAATCTTTTCCTAATCATAGGGTTCAAGGTATTGTCTTGCAGATACAGACCTCACTGCTGTCATCCATACTTAACTAAGTGCAGAGGAACCCTTAGTGTTCTGAATTAGTGAAGAGGTTAATTAAACCTCTGCCGTTTATTCCTGTTGTTTCTTTAGACAACAAACATTGCCTCTATTTTCTCTGTTGGGGATTTCCCTGTATTAGGTATATTAGGTGCTTGAGCACTCTTACGGTATGGGATAGGAAGATGTTGAGCTAGATTTTGTCGGTATATTGATCGTGTCACTGATCTCCCTATGCTGATGATTTTAGCAGCCCCTTTGGAATACATATTGAACAAGAAGGGTGATAATGTTCTGTAAGAGAATAAAGAATTAATACAAAGGGAAAGATCTGTTTCAAATTGAAGTGTTTAAAATGAAAAATTTAAGTATTTGTTCTTATAAAAAATTTAACAGCAAAATGTAATGTGTTTCTGCAGGAGACATAGTCTTTCCAGTACTAAACTGCTCAGTCCTCAGATATCTGGAGACAGTGATGAGTCTGATTCAGAATCCAAACTTTGCATGTGCAATCGCGAGATCGTACGAAGAGGAGCACTTATTCTTTTTTGTGACTATGTTGTAAGTTTAGAACTAAATTTTATTTATTTTTTTTTTACTTCATTTCGAATCTTAGTTCAGTTGACAGGCTGTTTTTTGTCATTGATGTGGACATGGTGATTATTTTAAATGTGAATTGCTATAGGGGAGAAGTGAAAAAGTTCCTGGGCAGCTAGCAAGTATGTTGAGATATCAGATGCCACTGTAGAAATCAGCTACTTCTTTCTTACTGTGGATTTCTTACTATGTCTTTCTCATTATGATTATTAGTATGATTTGTAAATACTAAATGTATTACCTTAGGCATTTTCTCTGTCTTCAGTGAATGAGCCTCTAAAAAGGGATGCTTTTTAAGTAACAGAATAATCTTTTGGAAATTGTACACTTGTACATATGATCTTAGGTGCAGGTTAAGCCCAGGTTTGAGCCCCAGTTGGACTAGATGATCTCTTGAGGTCCCTTCCAGCCTTACTTTACCTCTCTATGAAGTTCAGTACCTCTACTGGAGCTCTTGGTGGTGTTTCACCTCATAATTCTTATTTTTGTCCTTTACACAAGTTAAGAGTTTAACTCTGCTATGTTACTTCCTAATTTTATTCAGGCTCTGTTGGAGAGGCCAGCTCCCAAGTGCCCGCTCTGAAGCAGTTGCATGAATGGGTTTATCTACTGATTTTTTTTGTTACTATTTCCAGAAGTGATTTGGTCCTATGTGAAAAACATTTAACTGTTAAAGACATAGTGCAGTTGTTTTAAAAGGAAAAATAAATGTCAGAAATGGTTCTGCCATATACTATAAATCCATCATTCTTTTTAACAGTATTAAATGCAGGATCTTTGGCTTTTTGCAGGATCTTTGGCTTTTTTCCCTTTTCTTTGTTCTTTACCTGGATTCATGATCTGCAAAGTAATGGATATTGACTTCAAATTATTTGCAACAAGATCAAATGAACTTGAAAAACAAGTGCTTGACCAATCAAATGATTGATAAAATGTTGAAATAGGCTCTGATAAAGATAATTATTTTATGCATAAATGAGTATTTACTTTACATTGTATTGCTTCAGATTTTTTTCAGACATGAAATGCTTACAGTCAGTAATATTGGGATTAGGAATCAATTTTACTTTTTTTCCCCCATAGTGTCAAAATCTACATGATTCAGAACATTTGACCTGGCTTATTGTGAATCATGTTCAAGATCTGATTAATCTATCTCATGAGCCTCCAGTACAAGACTTTATTAGTGCTGTTCACAGGAATTCGGCTGCCAGTGGTCTTTTTATCCAGGCTATTCAGTCTCGGTGTGAGAACCTCGCAACTGTAAGTCTGAGTTGACCCCCCTTAATAATGTCATAGTTAACAAGAACAAACTATATTTGAAAAACATGTACAAGACCCAGAAATGAAAATCTAATCAACTCCCATGTAATTTTATTTTGGAAGTGTTTATAAAAAGAACATAGATTCCATATTTGTCTCAGCAGTTCCTATATTACATGTGCTCACTTTAACAAAAGTGAACCCCACACCCCTAATTTCTGCTTGCATAACTTGAACAAGGAATTAGTCAAATTGTGCTCCTTTCTGTGCATCATTATAAGTAATAAGAGTGAAATTTAATTCCTCAATTTTGTTTTCGTTCCGTTTTCTTTGTTATTTTACTTAGTGGCTCTGGTTATAACAGATGGGAAATTAGGTAACAGTTCTGCTGCTGCTTCCTAAGGAAGAATAGGTTCCAGTTCACTTCCATGTGAAACTTGACAAGGCTAACGAGCAATAAAAATCCATATTTTGGCTCATGCTTATTAATGGGCTGTGCTTTCTTGCAGATTTCTGAGCAGTCTTTTCATAGCAGCTTGCTCCTGATTCCTTTGAAAAACTTAATTATCTAAGTCCAGTCAGAAGCATGGGGTGGTTGCTATAAAGTGGAGGGTTGGTGTTCATGTGTTTTTGGAAGTGGACAGAGCTAAATAATCCTAAATTAGATTTTCTAATTTGTTTTTGTTTTTAAGAAAAAGCTCTATTATTCAAATATATTTTTCAAAAGTAAGGTAGCTAGGGTTTAATTTACAAGTACTTTACTGGATTTTCACAAACTGCTCATAAAGCAAAATAGTTATCTTGTATTTCTGTCCCCTTATGCAGGTATTGGGTACTGAGCTTCTGAAATATTATTTCTGCTCTTAATTACTGCTATAATCCCTCCACTTCCATTCTCACTTCTTTACCTTCCCCTCCCCTCTACTGCTAAATATGCACAGTCTGTTATATGTTAAACACAACTGAATTTCATAAGATGCTGCTTTTTTTACTGTCTTGCTCGTCTCCATTCTTCAGTCTCTGCTTTAGTTTTAATTTTTTTTCTCACCATTTAAAATATATCACTTTCTAAATTCTCTGTCTCTCAACTCTCTACCTTTGTTTTTCTATAACTACGCTGAAGTCTGGACTTCTGATCGCATAATTTGTTCATTCAGCACTTCAGACTGCACATTTGTAGTAGAAGCATAAGGTTGTAGGCACAGTTAAAGTAGCACAATTATTGTTCAACAAGTATTGTCCTTTTTACTTTCTAAAATTTAAAAAATAAAGTAAACCTAAGAGATTATATTATTTTTCAAATAATCTATTAATAATTATGACATTTGGTTATTTATCTACTACACTTGATTTATAACAATTATTCCTTAAGCCTGTGAGCTCATAAAGATAAAAACCCAGTTCCTTGATTAGCAGAGTCCATTTTTTTTGTTCCAGTACCTTTTTGTGTATACTTTAACACAGCTGCATGTTAAAACTGATTTAACTGTTTTGTTTCATTATTTAGCCAACAACTCTAAAGAAGACCCTGCAATGTCTGGAGGGGATTCATCTCAGCCAATCTGGTGCTGTCTTAATGTTGTATGTGGATAAGCTTTTATGTACTCCATTTCGTGTGCTGGCTCGCATGGTTGACACACTTGCTTGTCGTCGAGTAGAAATGCTGTTGGCTGCAACCTTACAGGTGGGAAAATAAGCAAATATATTTGTCTTTAAACTAGACTTGCTAATATTAGCAATTTGAATGTAATTTTTAATGAAAGCATGTCTTTAATGGACAGTTTTTAATGACTTGACTGGAAAAATCCGTATTTCTCATTTAGAGTATGTGTATTTAGCATGTGATTGAGACCATAGACAGGCATTATATTTGTATTGGGAAAACTGCCTTTTTCTCAGCACGCACACGCACACGCACACAGTGTACAGGTGTGAAAATGGTTTTTGAAGGAAGAAAACCAGCTCTTTCAAGTTAAAGATAGTATCACCAACAGTTCCTCTGAAGAGAGAAGTTTTCTAGCGCCACTTGTAATGATGATGTGTTTCTCTGGCGGTCGGGGTCCTGTGCACCCCCAGTATCCCACGATTCTACATTCTAGTCCTCGCTTCAGTGGGAAGGGAGGAAGGGAGAACACTGGCTCCCTGATGGCCCACTCAGCGGTGAAATGTCAGGGAGCCCTGCTGGCACCCTACTGCAGTGTCGAATAGTGCCCAGCTGATTCCTGCTCTTTAAACGCATGCAGAGAGTTGTGAGACTTGTTCACACAATTGTCAGTGTCCCGTGCCCCTTCAACAGACCTGGGTCTCTTCAGGCCTCTGCAAGGGGAAGAAGGCATTTCCTTGTAGCTTGCCTGCGTTCTCCCTGGGATGGTTAAGGTTGCCAGCACCACTGTGCTAGCCAGGTTTTTGCAAGATTTGGCTGGGGCACAAGCCTCCCTAGAGGGTAGCACAGTGAGCCTGGTCCTGGGTTGCAGGCAGGGGTGTGTGTCCAGGAGTTGTCTCTGCTGGGTCCTGTTGATCAGCTGATCAGTGAGACTGGGGTAGGGGGAACCGCTGTATTTGGGAGTCAGGGGGTTCTTGAACTACTTGAATTGTCCAAGAGCGTTCCCCTGTAGCTTGAATCATTCCAGGGAGACCCAGGACCATGCAAGGGGTGGGAGGAATTTTTGGGAGTGGGGAGGGGGCTGGTGAGGAGAGTAGCTTTCCTTACCCCTGCCATCCTTGGCAGCTGCTGCCAGCTGATCACTGGCAGCCTGCCCTTCCCCTCACAGGGGTGAGGGCAGACTGTCATAGATTCAGCTCTGCTATGGGTAGGGGGGAAGATGAGCATTCTTCTATTGCCCTGGTTGGAGGGCTCAAGTTGAATAGTGAGCCCCTTTCTTGCTACGTTTTTGTGGCACTAACTTTTTGGTGCTTAGGTTGATTGGCTATCCCTACTGGGGGATTTGACTGCACTCTTTGGTACAGGTTGTGTTCTTTTAATATGTACATATGTTATTTCTCTGTTTAAAATAGGTATGACTATTGTTTATTTTGTTGCCTTCTATTGCTTTGTCACTGTTTCCTACAGAACAGTGTTGCTCAATTACCAGTTGAAGAATTGGATAGAATTCAAGAATACCTTCAAAACAGTGGATTGGGAGCAAGGTAAGATGTTAATAGGTTGCTGTTATTGAAACAAATTAATGCATACTATGTTTCACATCTTCAACTAGAGTGCTTTACCTCTCAAAAATCTGTTTTACAATATGGGTGAATTTAGGAGAACTGAAGCAGCAAGGTGGTGTTAAGATCTCAAAGAATCTTTTTTGCTGGTCTCTTATGTGGGGAAGGGGGAAAAGTGCTAGTATAAACTCATCCCCTAAACACTAAATTCTTAAGTGATTCTTACATTTCCTAGCGTAGTTAAAGGGCTAATAGGTCAATTCACATTTTTTTTTTTTTTTGGTTTTGTTTGTTTTAACAGTCAGTTAAACTTGCATACATTAATCTTCCAACTGTACTATAATTTAGGGAGACCAACCTAAATTGCAGTGGAAGTTCACGGTGCAGTGATGCCTTTAATCTCGCACTCTTTGCTGTGCGCCCCTATGCTGAGTGGCCAAGGGGCAATTAATGCTGCATTTTTTGCCTCTTGGCCCCTCAGTGCTGGGGCGGGGGGAGGAGGACATGGAATAAAAAGAGGAAGATTAAAGGCACCACTGTGCCACAAACTTCTGCTGTGATTTAGGTAGGTTCCAGATTATAATATGCTTATATGGAAGGATACAAATTGTCTGCTTGTGCTTTGGCCCTGTAAAAACCAGGAGCTGGATTCACTCCTCTGCACCACTGCTAGTGGGGGCATCAACTTCAATGGAAAGCAGGCTGAGGAGAAGCATCTAAGATCTGGGGCTGTAAGGGCTCAGTACGAAGAATACTTACCTCCATTACTAAGGCTAAACTTAGTTGTTGTAAATTAATTTTCCCCTGTACCTTGTGGTGCAGCTTGAGTAAGAATAACAACAAGGTAACAGGCTGGATTGATTCTACAGTCATGATTTACAATATTGTAGAGTCGTGTAAAGTCATGATTTGACAATTGGTATCTTCAAGCAGAAAACCTGAATTTTAAATGGAGCTAAAACTTGCCTTTCCTTTTGTGCTTTCTAGTTACCCGTCATTTACCGGTGTTATTGGAGAGTCATCTTTAAATACATCCCACTCCCAGCCCCCAGTTGCTTCCCCCTACTGCTGATTTCCCAGTTCAGCAGCTTTGGTTCCTGCTTTGGCTCAGGGTATGGAGCACACTGTCTCAGGCCCTGTCCAGGCAGTAGTGGTAGTGGCACCTCCCCAGCAGCTCTCCCCAGACCTCACATGGCATAGTCTGCACTGTGCTCCCCACTTCCTCTTTTCCTTCCACACTTACCACATGATCTCCCCTGCATCCCGCCCTGCCTCCCAGCCATCCCACACCACACAGTTTCCACCATACTCACCCTCCTGCCCCTGCACTGCAGGGTCATCCCCTGGGTGGGAGCTAGAGCCATAGCTCTGTTCCAGATTGGTACTCAAATGTAAAGTGAAGTTTCTTTTTTCCCTGATGTTGATCTCTTGGATTCAAGTAAATATGGTAATTTCCTAAGGAAAGGCTTTTTAAGGTTTTTAAAATTTATTAGTAATCATTTATGACATGTTGCTTTGCAGCCAGGTGTCACCTTCTAATAAATTTTTTAAACAGCTTTTTACTAACTAGGAAGAAATGCTACACACACAAAGTTGCACAATATGTATTCAAATTCTTAATTTTTACATTATAATAATTTCTTAATTTTTACAAAATTTTTACAAAGAAAAAATTGTTAGAAAATAGTGATTGATGGGTAAACTGTCTGCAATGGAGACATAATGGAGACTTCCAGTACTTAAGTAGTTTCTGCATTAAGTTTCTTTCAGTCAGTCTTTCTTGGTAACTGCAGATGCAAAGATAATTTTCTACCAAAAAGCATGGCTTTTCAGAGTGTTTGCTGTTGTATCTTCCAGTGTTGGTATACACATGCATCCATTTCAAGTTGGAATTCTTTTGGCTACCAGTGTCTCTGGAGCTTGCACCTGTGCTTTTACTATCTTTGCACCTACAGGGGCCTCTGAGTTGTCTCTATCCTCATTTCCTTTCTGGGGTGTATGGAGTTAGAACCTGCAGTATCTGTGCCTCTATGCTTGTTGTATGGTTTATCCATTATTTTGTACGTCTATTTTTTATACATAAGGATTTAGCAGCTAGGTGGGTATTAGTAGAAGCTTTCATTTAGATAGAAGGAAAAGAGCACTATAATAAGAAGGATTTTTGTCTGCTTTTTGCCTGAGGAGTTTGCTAGAGTACCAGAATCAGTCACTGACTGAACACAAGCCTTCAAGCTTTAAAAACTACCTTTCATATAAAGCAGTAGTACATCTTAATGATTGGCATACTGAGTGTATTTACTGAGTTATGGGTAAGGAGCATCTAATGAGCATGCCATAATTTGGAGTTATCTTTCTAAAAGAATACTTGGAGGAGCAATCTGAACACTCATCAAAGTATGCCTTCTGGTTCTTCTGCTTGGGAGTAGATAACTTCTCCTAGAGTCATGTTCATTATACGGTAAAAATTTGGATTTCTCGCTAACGAGATGATAGAATCATAGAAAATTAGGGTTGGAAGGGACCTTAGGAGGTCATCTAATCCAACCCCCTGCTCAAAGCAGGACAGTCCTCAACTAGATCTAGCCAGATCTTTAAAATGTCCAAGGATAGAGAGTCCACAACCTCTCTGGGTAACCTGTTTCAGTGTTTTACTGCCCTTCTAGTGAGAAAATTCTTCCTAATATCTAACCTAAACTTGAGACCTGTTGCTCCTTGTTCTGTCATCTGCCACCACTGAGAACAGTCTAGCTCCATCTTCTTCAGGTAGTTGAAGGCTGTTATTAAATCCCCTCTATCTCTCTGTCGTCTTTTTTGTAGACTAAATAAAGCCCAGTTCCCTCACCCTCTCTTCATAAATTATGTGCCCAGTCCCCTAACTGTTTTGTTGCCCTCCACTGGACTCTCCAATTTGTCCACTTTTCTGCATTGGGCGCCCAAAACTGAACACATACTCCACAGTGGCCTCACCAGTGTTCAATAGAGGGGAATAATTAGTTCCCTTGATCGCCTGGCAGCACTCTTATCAGTGCAGCCCAGCATGTTGTTAGTCTTCTTGGCAACAAGGGCACACTGCTGTCTTATATTCAGCTTCTTGTCCACTGTAACCCCCAAGTCCTTCTTTGCAGAGCTGCTGCCCAGCCAGTCAGCCTCCAGCCTGTAGTGGTGCATGGGATTTTCCATCCTAAGTGCAGGACTTTTCACTTGTCCTTGTTGAACCTCATGAGTCCCTTTGGCCCAATCCTCCAATTTGTCTAGGTCGCTCTGAATCCTAGCCCTATACCCTCTAGCTTGTCTACAACTTCCCCCAGCTTGGTGTCATCTGCAGACTTGCTGAGGGTGCTCTCTATGCCATCTTACAGGTCGTGGATGAAGATATTGAACAAAACCCAAGACTGACCCCTGGGGCACTATACTTGATACCAGCTGTCAACTAGACATTTGAACCATTGTTTACTACCCTCTGAGCCTGATGCTCCAGTCAGTTTTCTGTCCACCTTACAGTCCATTCATCCAACCCATATTGGTTTATCTTATTTATAGAACATATTATTTTAAAAAATTGCAAGCCAGACTACAGCATGTAATGCAGAATTAACTTAGACTTCCATGTACTTTAACTTTCAGTTAAGTGCACCTGTCCACCTTGTAGAGAGAATTGAGTTTAAAGGTAATACTAAAATGTTAGGCTAAATTTAAAACTTCCTTGGAACATCACCGGTATGACATGTTGAATTGACACTCTCTCATTCATTTTTCATATACTGAAAATTGAAAGTGTATGTTTATTGCCTCGGTATACATGCAAATAAAATTGTATACATGATGATTATGAGCACAATATATTCTGACTTCTGTATCTATTTTCAGACACCAAAGACTTTACTCGCTATTGGATAGGTTTCGTCTTACAGTAGCACCAGACACAAATAGTCCCTCGCCCTCGGTTACTCTTCACCCACTGGATGGGGAAAACCAACCAGCCCTAGAGAATCTAACTCCGGACAAAGTAAGGCTTTATCTAGCATGCTTTATATGAAAAAATTCTAATGAATTAAGCTTTTTAATGCTCTGTTACCATTCTCAAATGTATGCTATTTGATCTAGGGATGTGAAAGGTTAAAGGATTAATCATTTAACCAATAAGTGCAGTGATAGCCAGTTAGCTTACCACTTATCATTTAGGTTGGGGCTGGTGCAGTCTGGCAGGGAAGTGGGGCAGGGAAGCCCCATGGTGCTCCAGCAGGGATCCAAAGCAGCACGGGAAGGGGTCAAGGGTCAGGAGGAGTGAGGGGACTAGTACCCATAACCTAAGAGGAAAACAGGGAACAGCCTAATGACTCATCAATTAAGCAATTAACTGCTGGTTCACAACCTGGGCACAAACTCCCTCCCAGCTCAGGGCTTCACCTGGGCTGTGTTGTCTGGCTGGGCTTGCCACTTCCTCCCTTGCCCCAGTCAAAGGACCCCAGGAACATCTCCCAGCAGCGGCAGCTGTGTTCAAGTTTCTGTTATCAGTTAACCAATATAACTAGAGGTGGGTAAACAAGTTTTTTGGTTTTTTTGTTGTTTTTTAAATAACATTTACATTGCTAATTTGATCTGTTAAATAAATGTCAGTACCCTGTTAGGCTCTATAGTTGAACAAGCATACCTACACACATTTCTGTCTTCCTGTGGTGATTATATAATATGTAGCATTTTATTTAGTTTTTCTGAAACTTAAGTTTCTTGTTCTGTAGAATGAACAAAGATGCATGTTATACCTGGAAATGTTGTTTTGTTCCTTTGTGTAGTGCACTGTTGTTTTTTTTTCTTTCTGATGTGTCCATTTGTTAGTTCAAAATTACTGGGTGGCTTTGTAGGTGGCATACTCTTGACATGCTTCTACCCTGGTAAAAAGAAAAGGTGGCTGGTGCCATAGCTGCTGGAACTTTTGGGGCTGGTGCACAGCCCCTATCACTGGTGGCTCAGCTACAGCAGGCCCTCGGGGTGCTCATGGCTGCAACAGGCAGAATCTCCGGTGGCACCCAGCTCCGGCTGAGTCTTGGCGGCTGTGTGTGGCAGCACGGAGCCAGCCCAGCCCGCTGGTGTGCACCTTCAATCCAGACTGGGTTGGCTCTGTGGCAGTATGTGGGGCTCACAGCATTGCAGGCAAGAGCCGTGTCATTGGGCCGGGCCAGCTCCGTGCCTCCACGTGAGGCTTCCAGCACTCCAGCGGGCTGCTGCATGTGGAGGTATGGAATAGTATGCCATTAGGCTGAGTGGGTTCTGTGCCTCCATGCTGGAAGCCCCACATGGAGGCACAGAGTCTGCCTGGCCTGGCCTCATGGCGTGCAGACCAGGAGCCACACGCCATCGGGCCAGGTTGGCTCTATGCCTCTACGTGTGGCTTCCCACTGGAGTGCTGGAAGCTCCACATGGAAGTGTGGAGGTGGCTGGCCTGCCCTGATGGCATGTCCACCCCCCCC